TTTTTTTTTTTTTTTTTTCTTGACTACTTAGTTATTCTCGAGGGACATTATTTTCAAGCGAAAATTTGTGGATAGGGGATATTGCTTGATACCATTTTTATTGTTATTTTTCTAGCTTTCTGTTTTTGCAAGTGATAATCTTCCTGTAAATGTGATGCCTTCAAGCAACGTAAAGTCGTTTTTACACGAATACTTCGGTACTAAAGTTCTAGTTGCCCCGTTTGGAGATACCTTGCGATTGTCTCGATTTCCAAAGGTATGGGTTTGCTTTCTTTTCTCTTCTTCATTTTAGCGCATTAGCGTGCCTGAAATTGGCTATAATTCTTCAATAACAAACATTTTTTCTTTATAGCTGAGCGGCAAAAAATTTGAAGTCGCAACTGTCGGAGCTGAAGTTGGAAGTGTTGATATTGTACTTTCTTCTCTTGGATGGGTTTGTTTATCAGCTAAAAAAGGAACGGTTAAATTTGAAGCTTTCACTCCTGCAGGAAAAGGTATTGCTGTGCGTACTCCTCCATTGTATCCGTACTGTGCTAGCACGAGAGGCCGACGTATTGCCGGAACATCTGCATACAGGGTTCCACAGCTAAAATTACTGTTGCAGGTTGAAAAATGAGTGGTTATTAAAGTAGTTTTTTTACAACTTTTTTAATGTGATATTGCTTCATTTTGTTAGTAGAAACACTTCAGTTTTTGATTAGGGGTTAATTGTTGAAGGAACGTATTATAATTGCTGCATTTCCCCCTTTTTACAATTGAACCGTGTAATAATTTTTTAAACGATTAAAAAATTGCAGTTACCACGGACTTCATCTATACTATTCTGTTTGTTCGTTCTTTTTTTTCGGTTTCACAGTCAAGTACATTATTTTTTTAGCTTTTAGCTTTTTTTGACTCTACCTTTCTTACTTGTGATTGAGGAACTTCGATTTAGAAATTGCTTTAACTTTTTATTAGTTTTGAAATAAAATTTTTCTGATTTGTTTGCTGCTTTCATTTCAAGTTACTATGTGTGCTTCTCATACTTGTACTAAGCCTAGCATTGTAAATGTTAGGTTGCATTAATACAGATTAGCTTGTGTCTGGGCCTCTGAGCAACTGTTTATTCTAGGTGAGGAAATGTTGACATATTTCACGAGGTATCTCGCTGGGTGGATGAGGTGTTGCTTTCAGCTTGGATTTGTCACATTTGGGATTTTTTTTTCGTTTCTTCCTTTTTTGTTTGACTGTGTTTGAGGGTTTCAAAAATCTAATAAAATGAAACAAGGTGAGGATTTTTTGAAACCCTGGATGAAAATTTTGTATGAGTGCTGCATCAGGCAGAGGGTGCTTGTAGTTGCGTTACTGGTCTGCCTGATTAAAGGGTGGAGGAAGAAGGGTAGGGGTAGTCTTTGACTAATTTTGGAAAGAAACGGTCTATTTATTCACTGGGTGGCTGGGTCAAAATTATCTTTTTCCAGTTAGTGGTTTTTGAGACAGCATTCTTATGTCCCTTTTCAATGTTAGTTGTCTTTCCCGTTTTTGCTGTTTATAAGCCAGTTACCTATCAGCTTAAGTCTAATTTCCTTTCAGAAGTTTTTTGCTGGCAAAAGTTTGTTTTAGCGAAATAGGATATTGCTTCTGCCATGGCTGTTCCAGTTGTTTTATTTTTACTGATAACTGAATATTAATTATTCATACCGTTTTTGAGATGTACTTGTATAATAGAGTAAGTTTTGCAATTTTTTCTATGTGACAACTAGACTAAAGTTTTTCGACTTGAACAACAAATGTGAATAATTTTTTTTACAACTTTTAGATTTTTACTGTACATCAATTGAAAATTTTATTGTGATAACTTTCGTATTAATTTTTAGGCCAAAGGTTAGTATGATAAGGTAGAGACAGAATGGATTTCCTTCGCATGGACTGGTCTTATATTGGCGGTTGGAAAGTACTGCTAGGTGCTTGTACGGTTATAACTCTCTTAAGTCAGTTCAGGTAGGTAACTTCTTGATTAATTTGTTTGAAAGTTTTTTAGTTCTATTTGTTTTAATGGGTACGATTTCCAGTCTTCTGCCACTCTTCCTTATTTTGATTGCTGTGATTACTGGGTATCTTTGTGCGCGTACTTTATTAATGGACGGGGGAAAGAAGTTTTCGTTATTCCTAAAAGTGTGCGTTGGGAAACAGCAGCTTCTGAAGAATTCAGATAATGATAGTGACCGTGGCCACTTTAAACAAACGAGCGCAAACTCTCTTCCGTGGGACGGTATGGCTGTCGTTTTTTACATATGTTCTATTCGTCTTTTACCAATATATTTTTCTCTATTGGTTACTTACCCATATTGGGGTCCTCTGCCTAATGAAATCCTTTTTGGTCAGAACTTTCTATATCCGAGCCGGTAAACGGAGCTTTAGAAGAACTTATTGAACAAATCCTAGATAATTATGTAAACAGTTGGTATAAAACTGAGATCAATGGAGACCCGGCTTTTGTTGCTGAAATTCGGTACGACATTTTATATGTTGAGGTTTTGCTCTTGGACGATTTGATCAAGCAACTTAAAGACTTAAGTAACCGCAGAAAATTCTTCAGATGTTTGAATGTTTCCAGTCCTTTTTTCTCCTCATTTGAATGTTTCTATTTTCAGGTACCACATCAGATATTTTGCATCACTGCTCTTCCGGAAGATGATGGAGCTTGATCTTGCTAGCCTGCTTCTTACGGAAGCTGTGCCTGTTACCGTTATCCACTGTCAAAAAATTTTGCGACTAGAAGAACAAGTTGATAAGAAGGTATTGGGAAAATATTATTGAATTTGTTAATGAGGTCAAAAATACGCAAAGCAACTTATTCACTGCATGACTTTTATAGACTATTTCTTATGTAATTTTAAGATGCTCACGTCACGAATGATAGAAACGAAAATTTTGGAAGAATTGGATGATCTGCATTATTCATTAACCAGTCGGGAAAATGAAGTCAATTATTTAAGACAGTTGGCCGACCTTTTGATTGCTTCTTATGTGGACGAGTCGAGAGTGGCTGGTTTCTCAAAAAACAGTGATGTACCACGGCTGCATTCTAGTCTTGTAAGTAGTTTTCCGGGACTATATTCAGGGACAAAGGAAACGACAGTAAAGGTTCTTTTAATATCAGCCTGTTAAGTAATAGTGCGATTATTTCGCCTTTTTTAAATTTTGGTACGTTGGTAGATTTTGGTGATACAGAGTGGTCTAAGGTTTTCCAAAACCAGGTACTTTATTCCTGCCATTTTTTTCACTGAGTTTGTTTCTTTCTAGCATCAGTGGCCCAGCCATGTGTGCAATCACTTTTTACGTGAAATAATTGTTTTCGCGTTCTTCTTACCTTTGCTCGACCTCATTGCTGATCCCGATACAATAAATCATCTTATTCTTTTATTTGGTCCAGAGACGCTTCCAGCGGAGCAACATGGGCAGGTCTGCTTTAATCGTCTGGTTTACTAACAGTACAAACGATCACTTTTTCTTGTGGTACAGTATTTCTTGTTTTGAGTAAGCTTATACGTTGCTTTTGGTTTTTATACTAACGAAGTAATGCTTGTTTACAGGCAAAACGAGTTGAATTCCTATGTGGATTGACAAAGTCGGAGTTCAGTGACGCATCTAGCTCTCTGTTACAGTTGAAGCTGAGTGAAGTATTACGTGATTACAGAAATCTACAGTTATTCACTACATACCTGAATGATGTTAAGGGGCCAGTGAATGAATTAAAGTTCCTTCTTTATTCGGGGGATGTTCATGAACGTATGCTGAGTCTTCAGGTTTTGAAATCCAATTTTTTGATCAATTTGGTGTTGTAGGTGACAAAGTTAATAATTGAATCATATAAGAATACTTCATTGTTAATTAATCTTAGGAGTTATCATTTTTTTTTAGTTTATAAAACCAATGCCTGATAAAAATTGAAAAAAATTTTTCTTTTAGACATCTTAATTTTGGTAAACCTTTTAGAAAGAAGATGAGAACGCTCTGAGCGAAATTCATTATGACACTTGGGAAATCTTCAGAGAGTACGTTCATGAAGAATCTCAGGATAGGGTTTCTCTTCCAGAGGAAATTTTCAATGATTTTCGAACAGCTGTTGAACGACGTGACACAGAATTACTCGACCAAACCTTGGAGAAGGTTTTAAGCCATCAATTTGTCTTTATGCTGTCAAAATTTCAATAATTTTCAGTTTGAGAACCTACTATTATTTGTTTTAGTAATTCAACATCAAAATTAAGGCTTTCCAACTAGTCTATCGTCATCTACAGCGGGATTATCTTTTGCCGTTTTGTCAGTCTGAGTGCTACTTCCGTCATCTTTGCGGTTCTCCACCTGTCTCAACAGGCGACCTAATTGCCACAGAATGTTACAGCGCTAATAACGTTCAGACAGCTATATCTGAATCAACTTTTTCTTTTTCTCAATTCAGGTTTTGACATTTCTCACATATTACCCACTATAAATAAATATTGCCTGTAATAGTTCGCAATAAATCCTACTTGAAAATGTGGTTTCCAGGCGAAGGTTGTGGAAAGTTATCATGCCTTTGTCTGCTGACGGGTCTATTGATGGCTTAAATAATTACGATGGCATGTCGAGCGTCTCTTTATCTAATTCTGTTGCTGAGGTCATTAATAGCGTCTATTATTCATTTTTTAAACTTCAGTCTTGTCAGTTTACTGTTTATAAAGCTGTTTAGAAGGGTATTCATTTCAAAGGATGTATAGAAACTTTTAGGAGGACCTTCAAGAGGAAATTAATGACACTGCAGGAGATGCAAATGAGATTTCTAAAGAAGCACATCATTTGCTTACTGAACAGGTGAGCTTTCCGATAAATTATCTTGATTCACCCTTTTGTTGCAGATTTGGTTTAATTGCAATTTTTAGCAATCTTTCAGGAACTAATGAGCGGTAAACATATGCTCACCACTTCGTGTGGCTTGCCACTTTTTGACCCCGATAGGGATATGAATCGATGGATTGTTACAATACCTCACGTCGATTCTCGTCGTGATTTAAATACAGGCTGGTTTTTAAGATCTGTTGTTTGAACATCTTTCCTATTTTAGTAAGTACCATGTTCCTTCCCATCTGTTTTTTTGATAAAAGGCAACATTCTTTTTTTTCAGGCAAAAATATGTATATGTATATAGTTTGTGTAGAACGTTTTGATTTGACAGACAATTCATTAAATACTGGAGTTTCTCGAAACGATTCCTGTCTTAATAAAGTATTGATATCTTCAGAAATGATTCCGCTTATTGTTTTTAGATACCGTTTCTAACAGTCTTATTACCTACCAATTTTTTATTTATTTTATCAAGGCACTAATTACTGAGATTTACAGTGGTCTGTGATTCGGCGGTACAATGAGTTTTTTGTATTAGAGTCGAAATTAATGGAATTCCATGGCGTACTGCTGAAGACAGAACCCTTACCACCTCGGAAACCTTTTTCTAAAAAAACAAAAGAATTTATTGAAGCCCATCGCCTCCCTTTCCAGAGGTTTTTGCAACTACTGACGCAACAGGTTAAACTTGTGTGATTTTACCACTGGCATATTCCACTTTTGGAATTTATAAGCCCCTCTGTAATTTGAAACTTTTTAGACCTTGTTGAAGAAGTCTGATTTATTATTTGCATTCTTAACCAGTGATCAGGAATTCAAAGACAATATTCAACTTTCTGGTCTGAATCCTTGGAACGTATGTTACTTTTTTCGCATGCTTCTAGTTTACATAATACATTTTATTTTTGCCCAGAAAGTGTATTTATAATATCAATGATATAAATATTCTGTCAGTAATTTTAGGTAGTACGGAAGATGCCAAGCAAATTTTCGCGTGAACGTGGACAGAATTTGAGGCCGTTCCTGCTTTCTCTCTTAGCAAACACTCTTGCTTCTAATTCGAAGCCTGTTGGTCTAATCTCGGAGCAAGTGCATGAGCGCAATTTTTCGGGATCAAGGTGGTTTTTGAAATAAGTCGTTATAGAAACTTGTGGTGGTAGTACGAAAAGTTTAAGATAATGAAGGGAACAAATTAACTTTGTTTTGTTTTGACACAGTTTATATTCATTTAGTCTCGTCTCGTCCCAACTTTCTGAGGAAATGTCGCGATCTTGGCTGCTCTTAACTAATTCACTCTATAGCGGAAATGTTCTAGACTTAAAAAATATCCGTATCAGTCCCACCGAGTATCGTTTCTGGACAAGGTTAGCGGAGTAAAATTTACCAAACTTTTAGAGGATGCGCAAAATTTTTGTTTACATAGATCATTGCAATGACTAATATTGATGGGTGTTAAAAATCATTGCGGTTGATTTTTTAATGAATGCTGTTCTAGGAGAACTTTTGCTGCTATCAATTTCGGAAATCATTCCCTGAAGTTATAAGTATTGAATAAGTATTTATTTATTATATTAAGTCAACTCCAAGTCAATATTAATGTTAAATTAACCGACCATCTAGAATTTTACTGCAGCAGCACAGTTAAATTAGTGATTTATTAAATATTTGTTTTTTAATTAAAATAGTATTTACTTTTTTCTCCTGTAATTATTTCATTTTTTTAGAAGCTTCACAGACTGCTTACTTTTTTTAATGAATTGTACTTATTCTGTTGGTCGCTGGGTTTTCACACTGCTTATATCCATGCGTTATGTAGTCTTCTCAAATCTCGACTTCTATGTGTACCGTTTATTCCGCCAAGCATTAAGCATAGCTTTTCTTGATGCAAACTGCGTTAGGATGATTCGCTTGATACAAGAGTCACTTTTTGGTTGCGCATCGACCCCAACATCTGACCAGGTAAACAATTGTGGCACGGAGCAGTACTATTTACTTTTATTTTTAAAGGAATATAGGGAAGACTTCTTTGTATTTTTTGGGCGATTTCTCTTTGCTATGGGCTTTTTACTTTTATTTCGAAGTTTTAGTTGGCTAAAACAGTTTCAAAAGGAGGAGCAAAGAATTTGAGTAATACTTCAATTTTTTCAGGAAAAAGTGCTTCGGTCTGAACTTGCTTTGCGCCGCATACTAGAATACTGTGAAGAGGAACTTCCTTCTTGTATTTTGAAATTGATTGGTGTGAAGAAATTTCGGCATAGCACCTCAACCTTGTTCCATGTTTTACAGTATCCTCGCCTAAACAAACAACTCTCTTACGTCCTTCTTGACATTTTGGTACAAAAGGTATTGACTGTTCCGGAACAAGAGCTTTAGAATAAGGTATCTTCTAACCTTCACTCAAGGTAAAGGCGAAGCTTAGGTTTGGAGTGCCAAATTCAATAAGTAAGCGGCTTAAGGTTTTAATTGCTGCATAAGGAACGTTAAAAATTAAAGATAATAAAAGGATTAACACTTGGTTTAAGGGAGCCAGGTAGAGGTAGTGGGAGGCTTGTTGAGAAGTACAAGATTGATGAGGAGTATTTTCAAAAGTAAGAGAAGTGGTTAGAGGAATCCGTCTGACGTCAGTCGAATACAGATGGAGATATGTTTAATGGAATTTTTGCATATGCAGTTTACAATTCTGGAAGGTTTTGGGTGGCTCAGAGCATTTAAAGCACTTAAAATAGAACTTCATTTAAACAACTGAATTGACATAAAAAGAAAGCGTTTTATTGTATTAGGTATCAAAGCGACAAAACATAGATCTGACGTCTCATCAAAACTGAAAGTGTTTTTTATCACCGACTCATCCTGTTTTTACTTCGCCTTTTCCTTTTAGCGGGATTGTGATAGGAAATACCTAAAATACTTTGTGCCGATGACTAGAGACTGTCTGTAAGCCAACTCTGTGATTTTAATTTTTTGTTTCTTTTTCCCATCTGTAACTTATCTTACATTTTACGTTTTAAAGCGGTACTGTGTTAGCTGGCACTGCTACACCTTAACTAGTCTCTCGCTTAATCACTTTGATGCTTTGTTCGTTATGCCATGCTATTTGTTTTTACTTGCTACCAGCTTACTATCTCGTTTATAATATGCATTCCATTTCAATTTTAGAGCGAGTCTTTGGACATGCCAGCGTCTTAGCAACAAATTTATCTCAAGTCATTGATTCACCATACTAGCAATACTTCACTTGTACTTAATGTGCTTGAAACTGTGGTTTTTGTAATTTTTAACTGCTTTTCTCTTTTTTGAAGGCTCTTTCAGGATGGCGGCCCTCTACTTTTATCAGGAGGAAGTCGTGAAATAGTCCTTCCGCTTATAAAGTTTTGGTAACTGAGAAAACTAAGTAGTCTACGGTTTAGGGCCACCGTTCTGAGGAGTAACCTATCTTTATTCCGTCTTAACACTTGTTTTTCATCCTCGATCTCATCTTTCCTTTCTTAATATTTTAATGCATCTCGTCGTCAGTCATGGAAGTGTAGTACAAATAAAAACGGTGGAAGAGTCGGTGAGCTTTATTTTTCGTTTCATTTGGTCTTGCCTCGGTCGGCCTGTTTGATAGAAGAAACTTTACGGAGAGATAAGAATGGAGCTTAATATAAGTAATTCGACGTACGGAGTTTGGAGTACTATTTCAGCTGCACCTTTAAATCATTTCTGCTAAAGAAATGTGAAAGCTGTATCCCAGCTTTATTAGAAGTGGAGCCATTTATATTGCACGTAATTTGCGATTGGTAAAGCAGTCAGTTGAGTATAATTAAGTCTCCTGGGTCTTAATAATTTATTCAAACTTTCTGCGCACCTTGACGCAGAAAAAAACAGACTCGGAGCGAGTGGGTTCTGTAGCTGACTGCTCATTTTTGCTAGGTTAGGCAAATGTCTGCGGATTTTTCTAATGCAGCTCTAAAAGGACGGCATGAAGCTGTAATGAGGACCAAAGCGTTTGAAGTGCTGTTAAATTTTTTCTTGGTTTTCTTTTTTTGGCTGAAATCCCTTGGAGGGCTCTTGGATTAGTAAAGAATGCCTGTCGATATGGTCAGCTATCGGGAATACACAACTATTAGAATAAGAAAGATTACCGGAAGAGTTAGAATAGAATTTAAAATAAGAAGCCTAAAGACTTTTTCCAATAAAAATATTGACAAGGGGAATTTGCTGTTATTCCTGTATAAACGCAATAAAATCTGTTAATGCTGCAAATAAATTTCATTATTTTGCTGTTGAAAAGGTTGGTGAAACCGCTGAAAGTAGTTGTCAGGAGACTGACTGTTTCTGAAACTTTTTTATTAGAGTCGAGAATAAAAGAGGAAGGTCTCAATCAATTTCTTCTCTTTCACACTCTTGTCTTTCCAAAAAATTTTTATTTGCAGAAGTATATCTTTTCAACAGTTGATTACATTTGCAGTTGATCTATATTGGCCCGAAGGCCCTGTTAATAGCTTCTAAGTAAGAACGAAAAAACGGTAGTGCGATAAAATAACCGGCATATAAGGGAAGTTGAATGTCCAGCCGGTTAATGGCGTGCAGGACAATCGCAGAACTGGCCGGTTTCATACAGCACATAAGGCTGTTTTACTTTAGAAGTACCTAGACCAACTTCAAGTCTCTAAAGACTTCAAACAGCAGAGCTGTCAGCATTAAATGCAGGCTACTCCACTTATTAATCTGTATTAGTCTCGCCCGATTTGACCAAACTTTACCAGCCTATTCCAAGAAAAAAAAATGAGGCTGACAATTTTTTGCTAATTGCTAAACTCCGCTTATTTGTCCAGAAATGCGAGTTTAGATTTTATCCAAAGAGAAAAACGTATAAAGATCCTGAATTTAGTTTAGGAGTCCAAATAAGTGGAGCAAAAGTTGTGCGAAAGAAGAGAGTAAATTTAAACGGAAACTTCTTTTATCTGGCTATTTAAAAGCTCCTACTATGAAACACAAACTAGTGAAGAATGTGAGGTCAAATGTGGGAATCATGGACTTCACAGGTAAGTTGAACCACAAGCCCCAAGAAGTTTTATGTCACAGAATTTTGTTCAAACTTCTGAAACCGTCCACTAAGTTTGGGGAAGCTCTCGTCCCCTAATCCTCCAAAAAGTTTTGATTTATCTCACATTTAGACCGAGCCGTCTAGTATTTAAGACTAGAACTGAAAGAACTCGTTCTAACATATAAGATATTTGCAAAACTCCATTACCTGGGTTCAGATATAACACATTTTCTTTGGTTAGATTTATGTTACGATTGTGAGGTAATTTTGTTGGCTTTTAGCTCGTTTTCTGAAATACATGTGGCAAGTGGTTTCCTGCAGAACTGTCTTCAAGAGGAGGCTGCCCAACGAATTTAACTTTGCTGTCTCTAATGATGCCACAGACTTAATAGTTTGTTGTGCTCTAAATTAAGCGTAAATCAATGCAACAAAAAAGTCCTCCAACTATCGCTGAAAAACAAAGTACGGCAAAAATATCCAGGTTAATACGATACCACTTGGGACGAATCCTAGAACACTTGATGTTTCACCCACAGTAAATCTCTGATGATATTGTGGTTTATCAAGTACTGTACCCAGGATAACGTAACTTATATGGAAGACGACCACTGCTAAGGAAGAAAGATTGTTTGAAGCAGCAGCTGAGCATTTAAGAACTACTAGTAGTCCAAATATGACTCTTAAGAATATAAATAAGTATTGCGCTGTTTATTTGCTCCTTCATCCCTTCATTTGTAAGACAACTCTTCTATCGTTTCCAACAGTTATTTCCACTTAACCAAAATCACATTGTATGCACACAAATGAGAGCGTTCAGTACAGTTTAAGAAACAATTAATTACTATACAGTTGAACGAGCAAAAAAATTTCTGCAATATTTAAACATACTAGAAAATCAGCAGATTTGGAAAAAAAAAAAAAACAGAAAAAAAAGCACTAGAGAAAAAAAAGATGAGGTAAATGATAGCAGACAAAAGACAACCCAAATAATTCACATGCAACAGCAAATCCACAGCAAATATATTATTCATTTAGGGTAAATAAAATGAAAAAAAATCATAACACTACACTTGAGCAATTAGCGTAATGATAAAGCCTACTGTGCCTACTATCGGTGGCGGCAACCTGACCACTCAAAGCTGGAGCAGCGAGGATGGTGATGTTGTTTGGCAGAGAAACCTTGCTGAGAAGGTTAGCAAGACAAGTGAGAAAAGCAAACAGTGACCAGAAGCGATCACTGAACGTTTTTAAGTGAAATCTGCCTGCTTTGACATTCTAAGGTAAAACTATATACATTTTGCTCAATTTCTAGCTGAAAAAATTACTCGTTTATTGTTTTCCAAATGGCCCAAAACTTCTAAATTTCAATAATTCCAAGACTCCCACCAAGGACTTTCGGTTCGGAACTGCAAATACTACCAACAAAATTGAATTATCTGAAAAAGGAACAACGACCAACATCCCCGCCAAATCCAGATAAAAATTTTTGATGTTTCTGTAATAAAAGACCATAAATACATTAATATGACGAGCACATACTCTAGTTAATAATCGTTTTAGAACATCGTTTTTGTATAATAAAGTCTAGGCAATAATGCTTCTCGTTTTTTATTTACAGTACATGTTTTACTGCTTTCCTACCTTGCAGTCTTACTTCTGTTTGTCATCAATAAACTTCTAATCACAATTCATAATCGTAAAAAGCTATTTTTTTTTCGCGACTGTCAAAAAAATTAGTGTATTTACCATCCTAACCTTTGGCTTTTAGCTTCGAATAAAACAGCCTCAGAGATACAAAAACAGGCTAATTTTATCGCGAAAACGAAAAACTTCTGTAATACAGCCACGAATAATTAAACAAGGAATCCATAAACAAGCACAATATAATAAATTGTTAGCAAAAAGTGCACTTAAACTTTCAGGTACCTAAAGGTCATTTTCATAAATCGCTGAACGTTCGTGTGACAAATAAAGATGATTTCTACAAAAACCATTTCCGCAGAAAAATATAAATGCGATCCTAAATTGCTTAGTTTGTAATATCTCTGGGTAAGAAAAGAAAAATTAAACTAAAAAGTACAAAATGTTAGTGCGCAGTTAAAACTTCAAATGAATTCGCTTTCGCTCGCTGACAACTTTATTGAAAAAAAAATTACTGCTGGAACTTACCAAACTTTTTCAACAAAATATAAGTTTCAAAACAGAGAAACTGATAAAATTTTTCAAGCAATATTTTCTTTGAAGGCACCTAATACCGTTCGTTTACTACGATGTTCCTGCATAACAGTGCCATATCACTAATTTAGGCAATGTGATTCAGAGACTAAAAAAACCTAGAACATAAGACTTTGAACTGTCCAATCCACTTCTACAGAATGTCACCCTTCTCAGTGTCTCCTGGCCTTCCTAGAGCAAGAATACGTTTCTGACGAACAAGTAGCAGAAAAAGAAGTTTCAGCAGTTCAACAGTTTTGACTTTCAAACTTCTGTTATTATAAAAAATTGTTTTTGCAAAAAAGTTTGCATCCCTGGCGAATATTCAGAATAATAACGTTTTCCTTGCTTAAAATTATATTCATTAAAAATTTTGTTTGCGCCGCTAGCGCTTCACACTTTCTAACCCTCAAAATAACCCAAATAACTTACAAACATGCATAAAAAAAATAAAATTCAAGCGTAGAAAATGCTAAATCATAACTGTTGAGACCTTTCATTGCAACCGCTTTTCACCTGAGTTACAAAACCAGCGAGCTTAATTTCTCCTCTACTACTGTCGTCAGTACACGACTAATTGCAGTCAAAGAACAATAAAGGAAACATCCCAATTAAACAACCGATAACCAGGCCAAGAGCACGAGCTGTATTCCCAACTGTTCTTGCACACGAAGACTCTAACTGCAATTGGAACCGTATTAAACGATTTAGTGGAAATAAAAGATAATCAACACCAAAAGAGTATAGTTTTGGAATTTTAAGAACCTGTTCGGCAGTAAGAACAGGATGCTTTATGCCTGCTTTTGAAACAAGGGATTCAACGTAATGTGCAAGCCCTATGCCACCAACGTCAGACACTATATTACCAAGAGCGGCAGCCGCCATTGTTGAGATTGCAAGCCATGCTCCTAAAGTCTAAATAGAAGAAAAAACCTGTGGCTTTTACCTCAACAAAAAAGATGGATTAATGCATTTTATTGAAGAAAAAAACTTTTTCGTTTGAAAAAACGGTATGATATAATGAAGCACCCATTAAGAGCACTAATGCTATGATAAAAAGAAGTCCCCAGTAGATAGAACAAGAATTTATTAAGGTTACCTACTAGTCCTGTATTTATGAAAAAAATGTACCCATAAAATCACAAGCTAAGAAAACGTCCCCAATCAAAAAAATTTACTTCTTACCAAATTCTTATACTACTATTACTAGATACTTAAAATAAATCAGTAAAATAAAATTTACTTTTTGCAACTTTATACTTCTCAGTAACAGTACTCGAAAAGAATTCAATAAATTCATGCTGCAACTGGCAAGATAATGAGATTTTCCGAAAAGTTTAAAGTAAAAAACTGATATCTTACCAACTCGATATACTCCCCAGTGAAGATCATAATCATGTTATCAAGTATACCAAAACCAATGAAAGGAGCCAAGTTTACTGCGAAAAGTTGTCTAATTTGTTGTTTCGTCAGTGGAACTAAAACACAGCTGAGAATTATTGCTTTCAAATATAAAGAAAATGACAATTATAAAACAAAAAAAAATTAACATCTATAAAGCGAAGCAGCAAAAATAACCGCTCTGAATTGGATAAGTAATTACCCGAATCTTTATTAGTCTCGACAACATTTTCCTGAGAAACTTCTTCCAATGCTTTAAGAAGAAGAGACCTTTCTGCTGGGCGCAATTGGTTTACCAAAGCACTAGCTTTTTCATCACTTTCAATTTTCAGTCTAGGAAGCTGTTTATAGGCTCCTCAAAAGTGATATAATTTTAAGAGATCAAACAACAGATGTAACTCATTGGAAAAATCAAAACTAACTTAAAAAACTAGTTTTTTATGACGGAAAAGTGCTGTACAGCTAGAAATCGAATAAACTTTTTTGAAAAATGCAAACCTGTGCAGCTAGACCTCACTTGCTTCATCCTGCCGATGACCGGCTCATAGAGTTCTGGAATCTTTGTGAGGCCACGGCAACGGAAGAACACACTCGCCATACCTCACTCTAAAAAATAATAGATCTTAAAAAAAAATTGTCGTGCAAACTACTGCACGACGACTGTTTACACCAGACCAAAGCAAATGAATTAACAAGGCAGGAAAGCAGCGAATAAACTCACAAAAACAATAATAATCAAAGCAAAACGGCAATTAACAGTTCATTGTGACTTTACATAAATGGCGAATAAACCTTTATTTATAACAGATCAGACAGATACACGTAATCATTCGTTATGATCAGGAAAAATTATTTATGTGCAATGCTACAGTACCCAATAAAACCAACTGTGACGACATTTTTCACAAGTAGAGCTACTAACTAAAAGATATAATACAAAAATTTTGCTTTTACAGTTATGAGTAATTTCAAAGATGCCATCGCGAAGAGGTGCAAAAACTGCAATCCTTTAAGTTGCAATTTAATATCTGCCATAATTACGGCCACCTCCGCGACCTCCGCGATGTCCCCGACCTCTGTAGCTATACATGTCGTTATCACCATAACCCTGCCCGCTGTACGAACCTTGAAAACTTTGGTAACCATAGTCTTGTTGTCTATAACCACCTTGATATCCACCTCTTTGCTGGCGACGATTAGCTGCTTCGTATTCTTGCATGACCTAAGTAAATGCTGAAGTACTAACGTGTAAATGAAAATGCACAATCTCACCACAAATTTTTTAAAAGAGATTTATAAGAAGAATCAACAACTGACTTATGTATACTCCATTTCCCGATCATTTTTTTAAAATTATTTTAATAGGAAAAATAAAGACTTTTAGAAATTTTTTTCTGAAATCAAGGTTTCATCTGATCCCTCAATCCACAAAGTTGACGAGAACTAAATTAGAATTTCAAGAATATCTGAAAACAACAAAGCCCAGAGATTCACCTCCTTTCTTGAAAATTAAAAATGCCTGAGAAAAATTCTAATCCATAAAATTATTTCTTCAGAAATTCCTACAACCAAACTAGTAAGCAAATGCAAAAATTGAGAACTACTTCACATGCACTATCCTAACATTTTCCCAGTACGAATAGCATAGAAACAAAGCTAAGCACTACAAATAACAATTATTAAGAAAATAAATTATAACTCTAAAGTTAGAAGAGCAGAAAAAAATAAATAGTTACTTTTCTTTCCCTTTCCTAAATCGTGCAGCTAATTATAAGAATCAGCAGTTACATAAAAAACTACCAAAATTTTGGAGCTATTAACAAAACCACTAATTGAAAGTTCAGATTCACATTTTAAAAGTAAAAATCAAAAGAAGACAACTTCTTAATATCCATCAAAATTCATAAGCCTACCTATGGATGACAAAACCAAAAAAAAAAAAAAAAAAAAGTACCTGAACCTCAAAGCCAGCATCGCGAGCGTATCCGCCTTCCTGGCGAAAGTCGCCGCCGCGACGATTGTAGCCACTGTCTCGCCCTCCGCCTAAAGCTAGCAATAAAGTTATAACAACGCGCTCATTGCACTTATTTCAGTTCATGTGGTAAAGGGTTCAAAATATTAGCACGGCCAAAAAATAGCAAAAAAATTATTTTGAATAACTGGAAATGTAATGCAAACAAGCAAGTGAAAAGTAAATTGAGAAGTCTTGTTTCTAAATACTTCTTAAACCTCTTGACTTTATGGCTATCCATAGTAACCAAAGCAGGCTCTGTCAAAAACGAAACCTGTCCAAAAAATAACTTTTGTTAAAAAATTAAAAGCGCTTTTTTTTAATGCACGTCCTTAAAAGCTATCAAACGTTAAAAGCTTCTAAAATGACGAACCCAGACTGCTTATATCACTCACTTTCCTACTAAAGAAAGAAGTAATCACTGAATTAGGTGTAACAGTGGTTGCGATCTTCTGCTCCGCTATCCTCATAGTTTAAAAAATGGCACCCAAATCAAACAAGTTAACATGAAGACCACTACGTGGCAGAAAGTAGAACTGAAGATTTCAAGGCCTCTAAACGATAGATAGACAGATCATACTTAATAAAATTAAGTACACCTCTAGGTACATTTGGAGTCCGGTCTTTCTTCCATGACGGCATTTCTGGCGGTGGAGCTCGAAGTTCGGAAGGGCGTCCTCCTCGATCACCAGGGCGTTCCGCCATCAAAACCTGGAAGAGAGAACTAGCGCACCAAATATCATAACAAAACTACTGTGGCAGAAGAAAATAAAAAACACTGTACTTTATTAAGGCGAGTGGCAGTACGTTCTCTTTGCCTTGAGCTCATAATTTTCTCAACGATTAAAAGATCGGTAGTCGCAGCAAGAAGATCATCCATATGTACATTAGCCGAAATGACTATATTATCTCTTTTCATCCGATAGATGTCAAAAACCTTGTCCTACGAATGCACGTTCCAAACAAT